AATTATTTGGTTGTGTCCAAGCGATACGTTAGTCCTGAATCTGTTACAGCAAATGAGAGAAGAATAAAGTCCGTTCTTTTATTGTCACACACACACACACACACACACACACACACACACACACACACACACACACCTGACCTGACAAGATGAGCCAGCAGCGTGAATAAGGATCAGGATGACCGTCACATGATGGCGTTTGTGCGTAATCTCCTTCAGACGGGGAGGTCTGCTTTGAAGCTCCGGCACATCCTGATCTAGACCGACACTCTGGCCCTCAGAGTGCACTCTGAGTCTTCACTTTACCTTAATTTAAGAAAAGAAAAAAAAAGGAAAAAGCGTTTAACTAGCTTCACAGTGTATCTGTGGGGTTCAGCGAGGCCAAGTTCTGCTTTCAAAACACAGCAATCCTAATCGCACAAAAAAGCCATGAGAGAGTTCCAGCGTAGAGCTACTTGAGAGTAAAAATAAAATAAAATAAAAGTAATGAGAACGTTTAAACGGAAAATTCTGAACTGATATATATGTTACTATAAAAAATAAAGTAAAGCCTAGTTATCCACGGATTTAGACATTTGTGTGTGTTATGTAGCACTGGTGTAGTGTTTATGTGGTTTGATTATTGTAAATGTATCAGAGAGCGCCCGTGGTTTTCAAGCGAGGGAAAGTCAATCTGTTTGTACACAAACCACGTCACTGTGCGTAAAAGGTCTCCACCCTCTTCCTCCCTCTTTGCTGGTTTGGGCTGATGCAATGTGGCATCTATAAAAGGAAGAGCCCTCGCCCCTTTTTTCTAGCAGAACTGGGTTTTCTCTCCGAGCGCGCCGCATTTCTTGGACTTTGATTCAAATAGTCAATACATCGAAATTCTTTTCGCGTTTTTGCTTCGGTTTATTTATCTTTTTGCTCCTTGGCCTGTTTCTGATTCTGCTTTTTAAAGTCAGATCTGGTCTACTAGTAGGTCCATTCATTCATTCATTCAAAATTTCAGTCTTTATAAATATATATACATATATATATATTTTAAAGAAAAAACCCTAGTCTTCTCAAGGATCAGCTGATTTTTATAAAGAAATCGTCTGGACGTTTTTTTCTTCTTACTGAAAGGATCTTCAGGCATCCTAAGACATCTTCAAAAGGTAAGAATGTCGACATTCTCGTTTACCGTCAGAGGGAAAATTGGCGGATGTGGGCGGAACAGTATTTGAAATTTAAAAAAATCAAATCTTTACAAGTTTTAACACACTGCACAGTTTCTGATTGCACATTATTACAGCATTTTATGTCTTTACCTTTTTATTTTTAATGCGAGGTATTTTTCTTTAATTAAAAATCGTCTGTTATCGGGTGTTAAAAGCTAATCAGTGTGAAACAGAATGATTTCCTGTCACAGTACACAGTACATGTGCAGATCTCTCACTAAAGACTCATAACATGTCATTGTCTGAGAATCCCGAGGCGTTTTCTCTTATTAGGTCAGCCCTGATCCAAATAAATGAATAATGGAGTGTCCGCTTGACAGTGATGCTGCAGTGCTGGGCATGTATTAGGACACGGGCTTTTTACTGCCACACAGATCACAAAACACACACAGTGCGAAATGGAACACATAGAAAAGTGTCTCTTGTGTGTAATCTGAAAAGGCTCTAAAGATAACCCTGCGCCTGAGCCACGGCCGCTGCGCAAAATGGGAGAGCCATGCCCATAAAGGGACAACACGTGTCATTGTTTCCAGTGGAGCCGGTCGGGTCATGGGAATAATGGCATTAAATGGCTCTGACCATTTAATGCCATTGTGGCTCTGTTTGGATCTTCATGTGCGTAAAAGTCATCCAAGAAGGTTATTTTACTATATGCCCGATTTAGACAGCTATGTCTGATTGTCACCTCGTTTTTGTTTCATTGGCAGTTTCTAAAATGGGATGTTTCAAGAAAAAGGAAAGTGAAAAGTCCAGATTTTAAGACGATTTTTGAGGGGGAAATGTGCGCAAAGTGTCACATTTGTCCGCGTGTACTGCGGCTTTTTTCTTTTGTATGTGTGTGTGCCATTCAGTATCTATGGAAGAGTTGGGGTGATGCCGGTCTGGTATTTTTCCACTGCCGGTGCGTCACCCCTCCTCCCTCCTCTCTTCTTCCTCGTCTGACTCCGCCGTAGCTAAAGCATTGTCACGTGGTCTCAGATTCCTGAGTAACGCTGCGGTGGAGCCACTATAATATTGATTATTCTCAAGGCAGCGTGAACGCGCACAGCTAGAAATGGGGGGAAAAGACTGAGGAACTGACGCAGTATACAGAAATATAAGAAATACAGTTAATTAACAGTTAAAACAACTTTTTTTAATTTATTTTTTTTAGCTTTAAAATGCCCGAGATGAGAGATTTCAACAATGTTCCAGAAGATGACAGCAGCAGCTCAAACAGCAGTGAATACCCATGCCCAAAGAAGGTGCCACTGGATGGGTAAGGCTCACTTCACACACACTATAGTGAAAAATATATACTTAAGAACTGAAAACTGCACACGGTATAAACCACACTTCACAAAAATAACTCTTGATTCTTCTCTTTTCTTTTAAAGCCAATACCCCGATTTTGACGCAGAGTGCCAAAACTTCCTCCCTGAACACACGGGCAAGAAGAAGTATGCTACTGAATCTGTAAGAGCTTCTCTTTTTCCTCCAGCACATTTATCTTTCTCCTTTAACCAGTGATGTGATGTCTCATCTTGTCCTAACCGTCCTGCGTCTTTTCCACAGCACCAGGGTAGTGCCTCCTTTGGCATGTCCGTCTTCAACCTGGGCAACGCCATCATGGGCAGTGGCATCCTGGGTCTGTCCTTTGCCATGGCCAACACTGGCATCGCCCTGTTTGTGTAAGCATCTATTACTTACGTCTGTCCAATGCAAAGAGGCAAAAGGAAACAAACAAAGAAACTCCTTAAGCTAACACCAGAGTCAAGAGGTTAAGATGTAAAGAAAACCAAATAAGCATGACTCAAAACTGGTGTGTTTTTATTTCATAATCCGCATTCGGCTCAGATGAGCACGGGCAGGTATGGCTTTGTCTGTTGCATTGGTGTGACAGCTTGTGATGTATAGCATCTCATTGAATCTCTGCACGACGACTTTTCGCCGCCAGCAGAGTGTTTATGTGTCCTTTATGCAACTGCTCGACCCTGAGAGTCAGGGTTGAAAGTTTACAATTGTTCAAATGTTGCTCAGCTGAAGTACCAGCAATCTTGAGATTTTTTTTAAAGTGCATCTCATTGTGAGTGATAGTGCCCCCTGCTGGTTATTCAGCACATTATTTGTGTGTGTGTGGAAACACTGAAGCCACCTTGCATCAGCCGCGTGCTGCATTTCTTAATTTTTTCTTTTTAGCCCTCCGTTTCTCACTCACGCTGGCAGCATCTGCTGGAACTTTTCACAATCAGTCTGTCAGCAACCAATTGAAAGAAATCAGATTATTGGGTCCAAAAAAAAAATCTAATATTTTTTTGAGTCCACTCGCAGTATTCGACATCTCTGGGAGTCAGAAACAAAAGGGAGTGGCAGGAAAAGCAGCTAAGTCGAGGTAATCCTGCTGCTCCACGCACGAATTACGTAAATGGAGAGATAATGTACGCTTGCAGGAGATCATGAATGGAGCTGCAGCTGGCCAGTCTGATCCCTGCATCTGCAGGAAGCTGGGGATTACAAACACCTGATGGCTCCTACCCAGCTGACAAACCTTGCTACCTGCTCCTTATGTCTCTGTGTTTATATGCTGAAGTACTGTCTGGTGCTAGTAAAGCAGATCAAGCCTTTGCAAACTAAGATGAGACAGAATAAGGACGTCATAGACAGACGAGCAGCCACCAAAGCAGCTGGACACACAGCTGAACATTGCGTTTATCAAAGACAAGTCTCAGAAGGCCAAGAGATTTACTTTCATCTGAACTATTAATAACGCCGAGTGTACAGTGCTGCCTCTGCAGCATCCCAGGGGCAGGGAAACCTTTCGTCCTTTGGATTCCTGCTGATGCTGCTTGTGACTCAAAGAACTTAGAGTTCTGGGTTTGTTTTTGACAAGGCAGATTGCAAACTTGCACACGCTCGGGTCTCGAAGGAAACACTAAAGGTACTGACACTTTGCTCTTGGAGCAGAAATCATCCTAATGGCAAATTCTCCCAAAACACACGAGATCTGAGCCATCACAAGAGAGAAGGGATGTGAGACATGATCAGTAGACTGCACAGCAATATGTGACCTTCACGTCAGCCAAATGTCAATGTGTTTGTTCACCAGTCAGGAAAATACATTTGTCATTCAACTGGCCTTCAAAGGCCCATGTTCAGCACTTCAGCCTTGATCAGAACATTTCATCATTGATTTTTCTGCTTTTCTTTTTTTTAAATCTCCTAATTATATCAAGGTCGCAGGTAAACATACAGCTAAAGCTCTCCCTTGTCTGTTTACAGGATTCTTCTTGCGTCTGTCGCCATCTTCTCCTTGTATTCTGTGCACTTGTTGCTGAAGACGGCCAATGAAGGGGGTAAGTCTATCAGACAAACATCCCCAAATGCCAAGTGTGTATTTTTTAAAAAATACTTTTGTTCTAAATCCACAATTCTTTGTGTCTTTAGGCGCACTGGTGTACGAGCAGTTGGGTTACAAAGCCTTCGGGACACCGGGGAAACTCGCAGCCTCCCTCTCCATCACCATGCAGAACATTGGAGGTAAGAAAAATGAATGTTACGTAACTGTAATAGATCCAACATGTGCTCACTCAGAAAGCTAAAACACTGCTCCTCTGTGTCTGCAATGAGAGCATGGAGGGGGGAAGGCACGGGGGGAAACCTTGGTTGATGGAAACCAGCTTGTTTTGTTTGTTTTTGTAGCTTCCAGTAAAACCTTGAGTCATTTTACAAGCATCTGGGCCCCTTGCCAAATATTAGAGATCATTATTTTTATGGCAGAGTTTCCTCCTTTTCTTTTTTCTCCCTCAGTTTTACAGGAAAATGTGCTAACTGGTGTTGTTGTTGTTTTTCTGTTTTTTTCCCCAACAGCCATGTCGAGCTACCTCTACATCGTGAAATACGAGCTGCCCACTGTTATAAAAGCTTTCACAGGAGCCAACGACGAGTGAGTGACTTTGATATTTTAGCAGCTTCCACACACAAACGCAGGTCTGGAAAAGTTAGAAATGACTGCATGTCTGTGCGCACCGCTCCAACAGACACAGCGCCTCAAACTGGCCGACATGACCTCTTTAAATGCACCGTGTGGTGTTTTCTTGTAAAGAAACATAAGCTGTGTTTACATGAAGAGGGGAAAGTCATACAAACACTGCTGGATGGCTCCACTAGCAGCTAAACGCTCTGCTTGGTGGCTTTGAATTTTCAAGCTTTATAGTAATACTAGCCATTTCTTTCTTTTTCATGTTTCACTGCTTTATTTCACCTAACACAGGAAACACTGCTGAAACTGGCGCATTACTTATATGAATATTTTTAACAAATCAAATAATGAACCTGGGGGTTGTAGACTTATTTCCAAGAAATCCAAGGATAAATCAGTCAAGCTGGCCTCTGTCCAAGGAACATCTGATTCGATTTTGGTAGTGGTTCAGGTCAGACCACCAGACCATTTGTCGTGCAGCCAAAGATGTAGACTAAATGTCAATACAGCATGGTTTACTCGCCCCAATAGGAATGTTTGCTGGTTGCACTAGGACTACAAAAGGGAGGTGTTGGTGAAAAAAATAAATTCCTAGAAGGAATGAAAGAGAACCGGAATGCCCGAAAGAAGCACTCGAGGTGGACATGTTAAGCAAAATGGCTGCCAGTTGTTTTTCAAGTGCTGAGTGTCGGGGAAGGTGAAGCAGCGGCTTTGTCGCTCTGCTTGGAGCACAGGCTGTGTAGGAGGACTGTCTGGCTGTTTTTAAATGGACGGACAGTGTTCTGTCTTTCTGAGCGGCTCTTTCAAAGAGCCCTTTTAGAAAATGCAGCTGGTGCCGCACAGAGATGGAGCGCGGGATGATCTCACCACCACCCGGCTTCGAGTTTAAAAAATTGATGTAGTTTGCTCTCCTCTGTGCCGCTTTGTTACATCTATTTTTGTAAGCTATGCAGTCATGCTTGCGGAGGCCAGTTCTTGTCAGCTAGTGCGCAGAGGCTGAGAGGTTTGATCAGCCCTAAAAGCTGCAGAGGATTTCACAGGAAAGTAGATTCAGCGTGCTGCTTTCGGCATCACGGAGCTAATTAAATTACTTCTGGTCCTGGTTCATCAGTTTGTAATAAGATCAAAGCTTCTTAATATGCAAGATATACACAAGAAAGATGATAAAACTAACAAAAAATTCAAACTCATTGACAGTAGATTTCACAGTAGAACACTGCAAAACAACCTGTGTTGCCCCTTTAACACGGCTACAGAAATCTTTACCTATTCATTGGTGATCTCCATTAGCTAACACTGACATGCTCTGTCTTGTATTTCAGTCAATGGTACATCAACGGTGACTACCTGGTGTTGCTGGTTAGTGTTGGCATTATCCTGCCCCTGTCGCTGCTAAAGAACTTAGGTAAGGAAAGTGTGTGTGTTTTGTGGGTGGGTGCTGCGAGTCAGATGCATTTCTGAACAGGGTTGGGTTCAAAGTCAGTGACGCACTTGCACGCGTCCAAGGTTTCAAAAGCTTTAAAATCTTAATAGTGTAGCGTGACGTGATAGAGGAGGGCATCGCTAATGATTGTGTTTTTCACTCTTTCAGGTTACCTTGGTTACACAAGTGGTCTGTCACTGCTGTGCATGGTCTTTTTTCTGATTGTGGTGAGTATGACACACCTTTCCTCATTCCTCATGTTAGCGCATCACCGCACATCCTTTACGCACATCCTTTGGCCTGTTCTTGTTTTGCCAATTGAGTTTCAGTCTTCCAGTGAAATCCCTTCCTCCTACACAACAGAGCGGGATTCCTTTGTTTTAAAAAATGTAGTCAAATGAATTCATTTAATAGTGGAACAGGACAGCACAACAACAGTCAAGTCTTTGTTTCTGATCATGCTGTAAATGTGGTTTTAATGAACCTTTGGAGCTAAAATGGGAAATTTGCTCTCTGCTCCTTCAAGGTGATCATCAAAAAGTTCCAGATCCCATGCCCTCTCCCTGATATTCACGACAACTCGACTCATTCGTTGAACATCTCACACAGCTTACACAGCGACAATACTTCTGACGAGGACACCTGCAAGCCAAAATACTTTATCGTCAACTCACAGGTAAAGACTTAGAACATCTGTAGAACTGAAATAAACCATAATGAAATCATTTCTACTTTTTAGACGTTAGTTTAATGAATTTTTTTTACCTCCCTAGACTGTTTATGCTGTCCCTATTATTACCTTCGCCTTTGTGTGCCACCCTGCCATCCTGCCCATGTACGACGAGCTCAAAGAGTGAGTATACACTGCCGTCTTTTTAAATTTCCCTGACATATAAAACACAATTTACAACTTTTTTACAGTGATTTTTGTCTGCTGTCTAAATAAAACATGTCTTCAACTCTCTGCTGAACAGCCGTTCCCGCAAGAAGATGCAGAATGTCGCCAATGTTTCTTTCCTGGCTATGTTCATCATGTACCTGCTGGCTGCCCTTTTTGGATACCTGACTTTTAACCGTAAGTCAAGACAGTAAAAATGTAAATATGTACACAAATTTTTTTACGTGGGGAAAAAATGTAACTAAATTTAGTTTCTTGACGCAGTTAATGTCAACACACACCTATACCAGTTCACAAGAAGTTATACGAAATGTTAAATGAGCTCTGTCATCTAAGGTTAAGCGAGAAACTTTCAGGAACAGTAGTTATGCAAGACTGTGAAAAAACCCACCTGATGCCACTGAGCAGTGTGCTAGCATGTTTGTGTTCCCGCGCGTCATGACAAAAACAACTGATAGACCACCAAGAAATGTTCCTGGAACTTACCAGCAGTTATACAAGAGAGTGATAGTGAAAACTGTGACAGTGTGGCGTGCCCCCCCCCCCCCAGTTTGTAGTCGGAATGAGTCGACATTGCGAAATGAGATTTGTTTTACCTACTTAAATACTCCTAAAACAACATAGAAGTCGCCAAAGAATTTAGGTGGTTTGTGGCCGTAAAACTGCTGCTTAAATATACATCTAACAAAAAAAATGCTTTTTTGTTCTAGTAAAACACTTATTTTACATTAAAATATCATAACAGGGTGTTAAAAATGAAACAAAATGTTTTTGTTGCTGTGCATGCTAATTTCAACCTGCAAACCTTTGTAAAACCACAAGGCTTAGCAAACCATTGTTTCAGTTAGCTTAGCTAAATTTTAAATGAGGAAAATTTAAAAAATCTGAATAAGCACACAGCTTAAGGCAAAGGAAAATGTAAAAACTAGACCCCAAAAAACAGAGTCAAAACATGTTTGCTTTTTTCATTAGGTGGTTAGCTTAGCTCGATCCAGAGACGTCTCTGAAGCGCTAGCATTTTTCTCATTATTATTTTACTATTTATGTAGTACAGATTCTTAAAAATATAAAATATAAAAATATAATATAGCCAAATTACTATACTAAGATAAGCTAATTAGCAGCTACTCCCACCTTTACACTGATTGCAAAGATATGAAAGCGGAATTTAGCTTGTCATGAAGCTAATTTTTATGCTATTAATCCTAATGGCACATATACACATATAAATATGGGTGATATAATATATAAGGTTTTACTTACTTTGCGTTTATAGAACTTCATAATAAAAAATCTTTGACTAACAATGCAAATTAAATTTTTTTCTAAAATTAAATTTATAAAATGGTATCAGGTTCTAACCATTAGTTATCTAGATGAGTAGATGACTTTAACCCTGACTTAAGTGGAGGACATCTGTTGTCTTTGTCTATAGAGCACGTGGGAGATGAGCTGCTGCATACCTACACCAAAGTGTACAAGTTTGATGTGCTCCTGTTGATTGTCCGTCTGGCCGTGCTGACCGCCGTCACCCTTACTGTCCCTGTTGTCCTCTTCCCTGTAAGTTTGAAAAAAAAATGTCACAGAGATTCTAAAATATGAATTACTACAAATAATAGGTCGTGTGGAATAACCTCCCTGTGTCTTTCTCATTGTGCAGATTCGTACCACTGTCAACCACCTCCTGTGCCCTTCTAAGGGATTCAGCTGGGTTCGTCACACTACCATCACTGTGTTCTTGCTGGCTGGCACAAATGCCCTGGTTATTTTCGTTCCCACCATCAGGGACATCTTTGGCTTTATAGGTATGTGTCTGCATACAAGATACTGTAATAACATCTTAGCAACAGTAAAAGAAAGGATTGTGACTAAAATGCCAAATGTCTTTACTCTGTCAGGAGCTTCTGCTGCTGCCATGCTCATCTTCATCCTGCCTTCAGCTTTCTACATCAGACTGGTCAAGAAAGAGTCCATGAAGTCTAGGCAAAAGATCGGGGTAAGATGGAGTTCGATGAAATGAAC